CTCGCACTATTTCTGTTCAGGTGCTTTGTGATCAGGAAATCAATTTTAATCAGTCAGGTTTATTTTTCTTCCTTTGATTAAACATGTTTCATTTAATGGATTAAACACTATTCTGTAGGTCTCTTAATGATGGAGACCATGTTGTGATTCTCTCTTGGGAATACACTGCTACAGTGTTCTTAGTTTCTCTGAGAGTAATTCTGTTTTAGTATATGCTGTATAATTAGGTCATTTTTAGGGACCTACCTAAATCACGGTGTTGTGGATTTTGCGAAAAACAGTGGTGGCCGCGATCACTGGGAAATCTGGCAATAGGCCTCGATTTCCCATTAAAAAAAAACAACAAACCAATAGTGAGGTAGATTGAGTGAAAGTGCCCTGCGTCTATCAACAGCAAGGGGAAGGGCTGCAACAGCATGCCAAAATCAGCTCTGTGCACTGTAAGTGGGTAGCTAAAAAATCTGTTGGCTTGCTGCAACTTAAGTAGGTCCCTAGTCATTTTTAATAAGATAGGCATTACCTCTTACCTGTAAATTTATGGAGTGGGGTGGTTCTTTCAGGTGAATCTACCAGTGGTACAGGTACTGTAAGGGTGATTATGAATTATAAACAGCACACATCCACACACACATAATATGTACAGCAATGAAAAATGTATACCAATATTAGTAAATATTATTATTTAAATTCTACTACTATTTTTTTTTGTTTTTACCATATAAACAACTTGCAGCTTATAAAGAGACATGAAAAGTAAGACATTTTTGTTTTCATATTTTTTTATGCTGAACTTTATGGAAACAGTTTCGTTGGGAGACCAAAAAAAAAAATCCAAAAATTTAGTCTGTACGTAGGGTTAAATGTTGTTTTGTTTGATAAACAGCTTACCGGTGCTGTTTATATTTTAGTTTAGTTTGAGAAATAAGCTAATACTTCAAAGACCTTTCTTTGCAGAGTACCACAGGTCTTTCTTTCACCTTCTGCTTTAATTAAATTTCCATCTTTCAGTTTGTCGTTACAAGTCTATAAAAGCACGGTTATTCCTGATCTCCTTTTATTTGATGTATTTGTGAATTCTGTTCATGTTGAAGGTGACCCACAAAGCTTATTTCCCCAAATAGCACAGAATGGATTATTTCTCCATTTTATTATTATTATTATTATTATTTTCCATTTTATTATTTTATTATTATCCATTTTATTATTTCATTATTATTATCAATTTTATTATTTATTATTATTATTTATAAATTTATAAATAAATTAAGTTATAAAAGATTATTTATAACTACTCCATGGAATGGACATAACCTTTACCAGACTACTTTGAGCCAGCTCTGTATTATAACAGAGCTCCTTAGTAGTTATTATGTCAAATAAATAAATATTTTAAGATGCAGAAGCAGAGAGAAACCAGCTGATGACTTAAGTACAGCTGATTTTTTTTTTTTTTTTTTTTAAAGCTAAATCCATTTAGCAACCTGCACGTCCCACTTAATTTTTGTTATTAGTTCTATAAAAAGTGTCCTGCAAACCTTTTTAATGGGAGATGTGCTTATTAGGAAGACAAGGAAAGACTGTGTGCTTGCTTCCCCTACAGTCAAATGCAAACTGTGACATCAGAAAGATTAGCGACAGCTTTATAATGTGAGAAGTTAAAACTGTGCTACTAATAAATCACCTGCAACACATTCATATATTTTATATATAAATTGAATAGTGTAGAGACAATCAATACCAGTGATACAGGTATCAAAATGCTTTGGTGCTGTGCTCAATCTGCTAAAATTAACTTTTTTTCTTAACTTACAATCTTACTCACCAATTGAAAAAAGAAAGGGGAAGTCAAACTAGCACAACCCAAAATGTTCAGGGTAAAAAGTAAATAAATCATTTAAGTCAACTCTATACAAATTTGACCCCAATCAGCAAGGTCTATAATCATGTGCTGGAATTTAAGTGTATGAGTAACTGCACTGACTTCAGTGGTAGTACAGCTTCTTGGCCTCTTCCAGGCTAAGATCAAGTATGACCAGCTACATGTCTTAGATTGCCTTAACATACTACACCAACTACATACGTATGTAGCTGCCTTGTGGAGGTTCCCATATTATCTTACGACTCTACAAAGCCATGTAAATAATCATGATTTTTACTCGGAACCTTTCTCTTTAGCAAGGGCTTTCTTCAGCGTTATCAGGGCTAAGTTTAATAGCAGTGGAATTCTGTCTTTTAAAGGGCATTTTTGAAAAATATTAAATAGGAAAAGCCATCTCTTCAATATTTGAAACATTTGAGCTGGGTACTGAGAATATTGGGTAGTTTTTTGTCTCCCCCTCCCCCCCCTTATTTTGATATTTCTCTATTCAAAGTTATTCACAGTAACACTGCTTTGAAGAATGGGGAGTTAACTGCATTTTGCTATATGATACAGTTAGCAAATATTTAAAAGCAAATTGTCATTTATTCTTTACCACCTTTGACTAGACTAGCTTTATGTTTTATGTGGCAGAAAGGGGGAATCTTGTTCTTTTTTTAATTGACTCGTCTTTGTAACAAGTGACATTAACTATACTAAAGGTTTAATAGGAAAAGTGTAGCTAGACAAGAATTGGAATGCTGTTAGATGCAAACTAGTAATTTTAATTAAATAAAATGAAAAAAAACTTGTAATATAAAAGAGACCTTAAAAATCCTAATACTGTATTCACCCAAACCTGAGATGACTGAAGATTTTAAGATGATTCCTTCCCCCCCCCCCAATAATTAGATGCTACACAAATAAAATTTATAATTTTGAAAATAATTTTCCATGTATGGAGTCTGACCATTGGGAAGAGGTTGTCTTAAATTTGCCCCCCTCATTGCTGTAGCAGGAAAAGCATTGGTGGAGGGGGGGGGGGGGGGGGGGGGGCGGGGGATGTCCCCTGCCACTTGTCACCTGCCACTTGCCCTCTCACCTCCCTTCACCTCCCTGTATTCAAATCCATGATGAGGGGCTTTTTCCCCCCATGTTGGTTGGGGGTACCTCATTTTGGAGTCGAGTAAATACAGTATATGGAATATTGTCAGGTTTTTTCTTTACTTTCATTCTCACTCATATGTTTTGGATATATTTTAAATACAAAGTTAAGAAAAGTTCACCATATTATAAATGAATATCAAGAATTAAAATGAATATAAAATTGTACTTGCCAATGCCCTTTTTGGATTGTAGTTCAATGTTTAAATATCGTCTAAATAAATCAGAAAGAATTTGATAGTCTATTTAAAAAGGTATTTTATGAGTAAGCTTATAGGACTTTTGTGTCTGATTTTTTTTTAAAGAAAAGTATGTGTTGCAGTGAGTTAATAAATTGGCGCACTGAAGTGGTTTGCTTATAAAATGGGAAGTACTGCAGTAAGAAAACAGATTTGCCTTTCTGACTTCTTTCTCAATATTGGTGTTCTTTTCATTTAATAGAAGGGGAAGCTGGGAATATTTCTTCTGAAAAGCCAATGGTATCTGAGAATGGTGAAGTATCTAATGATCTGCCACCTCATGCCACCCAAAGGTCTGTTCTTATCTCTTTCTCTTTTAATCTAACTAAAACAGATCTAAAATAGGCAATTAAGTTGAAAATATGGTAGGACACTTTTAATAGTAAATTGCTGCTAATGACCCCAAATGGCAGAATTGTGGACATTTTTTAACTTTGTTTTCATCTAGGTTTTAGCTTTTGAGTTTCATATTATTTCTTGGGTTAATAGTATGCTTTGGGTGAGTTTGGTGATATTTAAAATTTTGTTGTATAGGCTGAGTATAAAGTAACAAGGTACATAATATTAATGCATTTCCCAAATACCATCACAACTGTCCTGAATGATATGGAAATTAAAAGCCTTATTTTTATTTCAAATTTAGGTTTGCTTTTTAATTTTTTTTTTATATTTAGCTGGTGCAGTTGTATCAGAAACCTCACTTTTGGAAGCCAAATGTCCCTTTTCATGTCACAAGGTATATTGTTAATGCTGAACTTGATGCAACATTGTACTTGAACTTTAAGATACATGTGCTGCAACAAAATACATTAGTCCAGGGGTTGTCAACGGTGGGTATGTGTACCTCTGGAGATACTTGAGAAGGCCCTAGGGGGTATGCGTGGATGGGGACAGAGTGCCACCACGCACCATCCCCCACTACCCCTTACTCCTGCTCCGCATCTAGCCCTCGGGTACACTGATCCAAAAAGGTTGAAAACCCCTGCGTTAGGCCCTCAGATGGTGGTAAGATCTGGATTATGTTATATATCAAAAGGGATGCCTGGCAAAGGATTGCTTTATATTGCTTTATGCCCAGGGTGCCAAACTCAAGCTTGATCTGGACCATGAGGAGCCTTGCAGACTGGATCCAGATCCAGTGGTGAGGCAAGAGGTGGTGTTCACTGCCATAGTTCCTGCGATACAGGGATTAACACACCTGTCCCTTGTCTCTTTGCCACCAACGTGGATCCCCAATGGAGCTCCCTATCCCTGAGATCTGTATGAGCCCCACCTTTGAAATCGCGGGCATATCAGGAACTATATCAGCTAAATGATTCAGCTCCACAGGCTGAATCCGTTCTGTGCACCATATCTTTGACACCCCTGACTTATGCAATGTGTTCTTTCTATCCGTTTATAGCCTGATCAAAATAGTAAGTAGCATCGCGCTGTCAGGGCATAAGTTATTTTGCAAGGAAAATGCTTCTGGTTTTTAAAATAGCCCTACTTATTTGTTTTCCTTGAAACTAGTAACTTTAGATGCATTAATTCATTTTACAACTCTGCCTTTTGTTGTTTTAGAAGAATGCCCCGCCCAAGCAGTGCTAGACCAGCTCCACCTAGAATCAAACGACAAGAAAGTACAGAGATTTTACTTCCAGAGAGGTAAGGAAAATGTGTGCAAGATATTCTTATCCTGCACATCATACCGCAAACAGTGCTAGAATACCAGAATTCATACATGCATGACTATGCAAGAGATTGCAATGCTTGTTTTAGTATTTCTACAGAAACAATATAGCAACAAGAAGTAAAATTCAGTGCTGATATCCTGAGCCTTTGGAGAGCAGATAATGTCTGCATTTGCAAATTTTGGAACAATAAATTATACAATGGTAATCTAAGCCAGCACCAGAAAAGACCTATGAAGTATGCAGGGAAAATGGAAGATGGAAGCTGCCTTTTAAAACTGTTCCTAATTACCAAAATGGAACAAGTTTTGTTCCTGAACTTTTTCTTAATCCATAAATGCACTTTGTTTGAAAGAAAAAAATTCATAATACTTATGTGACAAAAATACAGGTCTGGCTAATAATCTTAATGCTGGGCTACCATGGAAAATGGCACAAAGTAGTGTTTGCTTCTCTTATTAGAGGGGGGGGTGGGGAATTTGTAGTCTCTCCTACCTTTGAAAACATTTGGTCAAGTTCTCAATGTGTTTTAAATTTCCATTATATGTCTTTCAGAAGTGGCAGTGGCAAAACAGTCTCAAATGTGATCATAGACAAACAGAATTCTGATGATGACGATGATCAGTTTGTGGTGGAGGCAACTCCACAGCTACCTGAAATGCCAGAAATGGAAATGGTCTGTTAATGTCACAATATAGAGTATATTTGTTTAGTTTTGTCATTGTCTGTTCTTTTCTCATATGTCTTGTCTGAACACTTTTTATTTTAGATCCATTCTTGATTCCTTATAACAAAAAGCTCTGTTGCTTTCTTTTTATATGTAGGAACCAGCAGTGGAGCTAGATGGAGAAGAGAAGCATGGTAAGTTTCTTTGCCTCATTTTCTTTCACCTGTAGCTTATAAGGTATACAGGACATAAAAAGAATCATGAGTAAATTAGAGGAAATAACATAGTGTCTCTGTAGTATATTGAACTTGTTTATAATTGAGTCTGAGGTTATACAGGACTGATTTATGTATAAGTTTGACAAAACCAAACTTTTCTTACTGTAGTAGAACATACTTCCTACGTACAAGGCAGATCATCTATAGATCCATCATGTTGGCAGGAGTTAAAACACCATATACACTTTCTGAGTAAATTCAGTTAATTTACTGTGGCAGGTACATCTTGCTAACTCCTTTGAGATAACAGCTGAATATCTCAGTATTGTGCATCCATCTCTGAGTCCCTCTCTGAGAAGAGAGCCCTAACTGCCAGGCTATAGGTGAGCCTGGGGTAGAGACCCTTGTCCATCTCTACTGGTGGAATCGTGCTTTTGTGCAGCAAAGAATACTAGGTTCATTGGGCTAGAGAGAAGGAAAGCAAGAAAGAAGGATCATGACTTTATATTAGGGGTTGGAAACCTTTTGGAGCAGTGAGCCAGATGTCACTGAAGGCTGCTTCTTCTCTCCACAATGCTCGGACCACCTGCTGCTGTCATTGCAACCTCTGATCCTTGTCCCAGTCAGCAGCACTGACTTATCAAAGCTACTTTTGGAAAAGTGGTTCTAGAGGTTGACGTACTCATAGTTAAACCAAACATCAGTGCCTCAGATTTGAATCCATTTTTATTTTGTTACGCAAGATTTAGGCAAACATCTTCCTTAAATGCATGTATAAATAGCCAAAATGTACTGGTAAGCAAAGGCTTAGAGATAAGTTATCGCTATATATGGTTTGTACAATACTTAAATTATCCTGAATGGGAAGTGCTTTAAAAATGCAAGAGATTATTAATCTGAATCTGGATTTATAGAGAATGCTGCCTTTAAAAATTACACTGAGGTTTGTATTGATTAAAAGTAATTTAAAGTAAAGCCACTTATAAACTTTTTATCTCTATCATACAAATGAGATATGCCATTTTACTAGAATACAGTTGATGTTAGTCCATGATTCGTTTTTGTTGACTAGAATGAAGTAATCTGCATTTAGTTTAGTTTTTCTAATTATGTAGAACAGTGTTTGTATTAAGCAGCACTGACAGAAATACTGCTCTCCAACAGGTGGGCTTGTAAAACGAATCTTAGAAACAAAGAAAGATTATGAGACATCCCAAAAATCACTGAATTCTTCAGAAAAGGTAACAAGATGATGGGTTCCAAGGAACTGTGAATGCCAAGTATTTTAGTTGTTATCTCTCCAGTGTTTAATGCATACATTTTCCCCCACTTTTTCCCCCCATCTTTTCTGTTTTCGCATAATTTTCAATCCTTGATTTTTTCATATCTCTTTCTCTCTGTTTTAAATTGTAAGTTTCCATATTGGTCTCTATCTTGCATTTTTAATGTCTTTCAGTCTTTGTTTGTGTAGCTCTTTTTACAAGTTGTCTGTCTTTATCCTGTAGGGTTTCTTTTCCCCCACATTTTTCTAGTTGCAATAGCCATATATCTATACTACTAATACTCAGATGTAGCTGATTTAATTGTAATTGAAGTAGCATGAATGTAACAGGACTGCTGCACTATAAGCAAGAAGTTTTATTAATTTCAAGATGCTCTAGTTTTAATCAGGTATAATCTAAATTTGTATAGCTATATCATTGTGATTTTAATCTTACCTCTCCTTTGGGCATTAGAAGAGCAGCATCGTGTTACCCAGCAACAGCTTTCATAGATTCCTAAACAAAATAGGATCTAGAATACTATTAACCTTATGAAGTAGAGTTGTATCTTGATTCTCTGACAGCTTTATGAATCCAGTGGTTATCCTCTTTGCAGCCAGGGCTAAAGTATATAGATAATATTGCCAGTCTTTTGTCTTCATCCTGAGTAACCTTTTGCATTTAAGCCTTGTCAAAGGCTTATTGTAAATTAATTTCCAAGGGTAGATAAAAGTGTTTAGGTTGACTTTCCTAATTTACCTGCCATTTAGAATAACTACAATAATTTTGTATGCAAATTGATATGAACAATTCCCTTGAAAGATTTTTTACCATTTTAATAACACAAATCACTTAAATGTTGTTGTGATAGGACAGCTGTTGGCATATCAGTGGGTAAGGAGTCAAACCCCTTGGAAAGCTTAAATGTCTCCAAGTGAATGGAAAATAGGACAGTAAATAACCTGAAATACTAATCTTATGTAGAGCTAATAAGATTCAGTGTCCTTTTAATTACTATGCCAAAAATTACCTAGTGTTAACTCCTAGATCATGGGATTGCAATCTTGGGGTGGTCTATATTAAGACTGGGATGTTGTTTCTTTTTCTTAAACGTGTCTATCGCCACTTGCCCTGCTTTGTAGAGCCAGTGGGTTATCCTATCAGACACTTGTGTTTATGTTCCTTCCCAGGTTAGGAAAACCTTCACAGTAATGCAGTTAGTCACAGGGAGGACCAACTTTCTACCTGATACTTATAGCTATCTCCAACTCCTCCTTTCCTTCCCTTGCCTAGGGGAAAAGTAGCCACAATTTAAATTGTTTACATAGTATAATGAATGCATCTTCAAAACAGAAAGACTATATAATTTCCAAACTGAAAATGCTTTCTAAGTGGATTTTATTGTGTCCATCATCTTTATTTTACTTTAAAACATTCTGAACTACAAATAAAGCTTCTATGGTAATGTCTCTTATAATTAGACAGTTGTAGTGAAATATTATCAGTGCCTTTTAGCTAAGAGATCTCAATTGAATATCAGTCTACGTGAATTAAAGAGGTCATCAGTGTTTAGACAGTGGTAAGGCTAAATGAGTGATATTGTGGCATGCAGTGTTACAGAATTAATTGCAAGCAGCGCACACCAAAAATGATGCTAGTTCTTTTTGCTGTCCAGATGCTACTATTCCTAGCTTTGTAACTAGATGGTGCTGTTTAATCATTGAATCTGAGAAAAACGATTTTGGATAGTTGCTATTAGATCGTTTAGTTTGTTTGTCTCCCAGTGCAGGATTGTTTGTTAGAGTATATTATTCAGTATCTTGTCGGTGAAAGCACTGGGACTTATTCAGTTTCATTTGGGAAAGTTTACAAAACCTAATAGGGTCCACATTCAGGAACTTATTTTGGGACTCAGGCTTAATTTTCTTCTGTTTCATTTCTCCCAATTAAATCCCCGTAATTATACTAAATAAATCTGCTTCCTTCTTGGCCTTTAACTTTTTCAAATGCATAGAAGCAGTTCTATGTATTTAGAGTCAGTAGTGTAACTGTATACTGTATTTCTATTTTTTAATATGGTCCATTCAATCCTTGTTTTTATTGCTCTTTCTAAAGTTTTTATCAGTTTGGCTATTTGTAATCTACTATAGGTGCTGCTTCAACTATATTTGTATAGAACAATTGCTGAATTTTATGATCCATAAAACAGAATCTTGTATATATTTATTTATTTATTTGATTTTCATGCTGCCCTTCCCATGTAGCTGTAAAATCCATTGGGTTTTGGGGGGGTTGGGGGGTGGGGGTTGTTTTGTTTGTTTTGGTTTTTGTTTTTTTGCTGGCATAATATATTACATCAAAACTAAATCTCTGTGAGTTATTGCATGAGATCTTTTTGTCACCATTGCTTTTCATATTAAATAAAAGAAGTATTTATGATCCAGGGAAAGAGACCATATTTTTTAAAAAGTGAGGAAGAAATGATTGAAAGGCAAATTAAATGTTTGGTACCATTGACAATTACTTGGGCAATGAAATTCACAAAAAAGTAGCCCGACCGGGTACTAAATTTTGGAAAGGTGTTATTTCAAGTAGACGAGCAAGGATGCTGAGTGTATGATGCAAAAAGAAGTAGTATTAAGTAACTTTTTTGCTCAAGCTCTGTCGTTTCCTCATATGCAGAAAGTAACGTAGTAGGTGTTTGGCATATTTTAGTTATATTAAAATGAATGGTGTCTCTCATCTTTAAGTGACCTTGCATAGATCTTGAGTAAGAAAAGTGGGATTTATTTCTGTGAGATTGCAATCCACAATCCTTTGAAGAAATCACAATCCTTTGAAGAAAGGTAGGTGACTATCACTTCTCTGTGCAATCTCTCAGAAGAGAGAAAAAAATATTTCTGCCAAGTCCTGTAGACAGGGTAAGCAGCATCATGTGTCCCGCTGCACTGAAGGCTACGACGACAGCCAGCACACTAGCTTAGATGTTTGATTTCAGACAAATGGACTTTGTGCTGTGTTTAGATCTGAAATCTTTCGGGAAGCAACATCAGACTGAATTTTGGCCATTTTTCCCCAATTGTCAGATGAATTATTTAATGTGTTTTCCACTAAACAGTCCAGAAGAAATATTTGTACATTGTGCAAAAGTATGCAAGAGTTTTTATAAATCAGATTGTAAAATGCAATTTTTATTGGTCACTTTAGCCAAAAAAAAGACACTAATAATCTGCTTGGGTGCTTTATAGTGTTTGGCAAAAAAATGTTTTTTATTACTGAAACTTGGGGAAATATTTCTCTGATTTTGATAAAACTATCCATGCTGGTGAAAAATGTTTACTCTATTTAAACTTTTAATTCATTTATGCTTTAAAATCTAGTTTGTTTTTCTGCTAATCTATTACTTAACCAAGATCGGGAAAATTCTTTGCCTATTCGAGCAATATCTCGTGGATAGTATTCTTACTATTGATGATTGTGTTTGATTGAAAATATCAGCTAATCAGTGAGCGTGTTTACACACGCATTTACTCCAGCCTAGATTTACTGTGCAGTCAGGGTTTTTGGGTAGGTGTGTACACATGTTGGGACTATGGAGTAAATTTGCTCTCAGTTCCCTGCAGTGTGCACCTACTGCCACTAGGAGGAGCTCCAGACTCCCACTTGGTGCTAGCCCAGGGGCTGGAAGGGGGCACCGGGTCAGGAGACAGCTGTCTTCTGGCCCCAGGGGGCTGCTTGCTGCTGGGGCAGGGATAATGTCCCCCTGTCCTGGTAGAAGGAAGCTCCTTGCCCTGACTCCCTGATCAGGGACACAGGGCTTGGAAAGAGCTGCTGGGGAGGAGCAGGTCCCAGCCCCCTGTCCCTATCTGCCAGTGGGGCAGCTAGCTGGGAATTGTCCTGGTCAGGGGCAGGTTGCAGCCACCTTCAGGCCAGGTGGGGAACTGTCCCCATGCAGGGAGCTCCCAGCTCCTGCTCCGTGATTGCAATTGTGATCCCAGAGTTGGGGCTAAGGAGCTTGTTCCCAGCCCCCGCTCCACTATTGTAGAGCCCAGGCTGGGAACAAGCTCCCAGCTCCTGCTCTGCAATTGTGATTAGGGGAGCAGGGTCTGGAAGCTCTCTGCTGCTGGGGCAGGGTATCATTGTCCCCACCTGGGCACGTAGGGCGGGGTCTGGACAGCTTATTCCCTGCCCAGCTTCATGAGATAAAACTTGTTCCCTGCCTAGCTCCTGGGATAAAGGGTCTCCCAGCCCAAGCTCAGGCTGGGAGATAAGGGTCTCCCAGCCCTGACCATGATCTGGGAGCAAATGGCTTTGGAGCTCCCTACTGCCAGGGCAAGGGGACTTAGTCCCCTTCTGGGCTTGTGTGGCAGAGCCTGGCAGGGAGCTCTCCCGCCCCCTGGTGGATGGCTGATCAAGAGCAGATTTTGCTCCCAGTCAGGAGTCTACACGAGTCCTATGTCGCAGTTACTAATACCAAGTAAATTTGCTACTTGCATTTGCACGTAGCAAATTTACTCGGTATTAGGGAGGCTTACTGCGAAGTAAGCATGTGCACATGCTTACTTTGCAGTAAACTATGCTAATGCAAAGTTAAGCATCTCATGTAGACGTGCCCAGTATGTTGTAAAGAAGTGGCTAGTTAACACGGTTGTGTGCAAGCCGGGAGCGGTCCGAGGCCCTCGGGGGCGCGTGGCGGGCTGTGGCCAGCAGCCCGGACACGCCGGGTCGGGGAATGCAGGCCGGCGGGCTAGAATTAGGCACGGACGCTTAGCAGTTGATTAAAGATTATTTTACTTACACCGAAGATGGTCGCGGTGCAGGCAGGAAAACTTGCTTGGGTTGCGGTTACAGATAGAAAAGAAGAGAGACGGACAAGAGTTCCTTCCACGCGAACCTCTAGCCCAATCCGGTTGAAGGCTCTAAACACGCGAGCCCGTCGCGTCAACCGAAGAAAACAACTCGAAGCAGAGAAAGAGCTC